TTCAAAAGCACATTCCTGATCCATGGTTCAGGCTCCTGGATCCTTTCATAGTTTTACTACTAATAATAATAGTACAAAGATCATGAGTAAGGCTGTCAAACTGCTCCTACAGGCTAATTCCTCCAGAACCTAAGGTGTTTGCTATCTGGAGGTCTCTGGCAGCTGAAGTGATGCCCACTTGTGCTGTTGGTCTTCAAAGGCTGATCATCACTGAAGACCCTGGCATCTGTCTGCATGTGATGTCCTCGGTATGATGGATGCAGCAGAAAACAGTGCTTGCTTAGGATCCTTAAGAAAACACAGAAGAGGAGTGAACGTCAAGGAACTGTCAGTAAAATGCATGAGTAGCTGCTTTGGCATGGAATACTGCAGGAGGAAAAGTAGGTGAGTTCAGGCTCCTCATAGACATATTTCTATCATCTAAATATCTGTGTGACATGATCACTAAACAGTAGGAAAATCAAAATATTGTTAATTTTTCAGAAGAAGAAAAGCTCAAGGGAAGATAAGCAGAGAGTGGAAAAGAGAGATGGGTGCAGGAAATCACTCAATTCCACTCCATCTGAAATTGGTAGCAGTGGTTTCCATCCATTTCAGCTATGGCAGATCGAGTTCCACAAATACAAGCACAAAGGCCAAAACTAATCCACATTTTTGAAAGAATCTGTACAAACACATCAATAGTATGAATGAAAACTTAATGAAAGTGGCTTCAAAAGGAGCTTGAAATGAGCTGTGAGAAAAACTCAAAACTTCAGAGGAAGAAACCCAGAAGATTTGGGACAGAATTGAAGAGAAAAAACCCAACAAACCAACTCAGTAACATTGTAAATGTTAGAGGTGGTACACCTTTACTTAATCTTGATGCAGCATTCATCAAAGAACCTGTTGCACACCATCTGTGAGAAGTTAGAAGTTAGGCCAGTGTTTCTGGACTATGCAAAGACTCCAACAAAAGTCAGGCATCACAAAAAGTGCAATTATGCTTCATGGCTACCAAAACGAGCATTAACTGAGAGGTAGGAGCATGGGGAAGCTGGCAGGGCTGAGGAGAATTGATTGAGGCAACGCAGACAAGGCCACCTGTGGCCAGAGGAGGTATGGCCATGTCCCTCAGGATGCAGTGCTGGCTTTAATTGCTCATGCTCCTCATGCTATCTGATCATCAAAGGTTGCCACACCATCACTGGGACAGGCTGTAGCAAGAGAATGGAAAATGCCAAAGGTATTTTTCATGGTATTTTTCCTTAGGTGAATGCAGGATGGACGTGATGGCTGGATTGGATCCACCCTGCAGGATGCACATCTTTCCCAGGCAACTGTTGCTGATGGCACAGTGAAGCCAAGGTCAGGCTTATACGATGCAGAAGTGATGACTTTTCTGGGGTTTAATTAAATGCCAGGACAACTTGAGAGGAGTTCAATATGATTGCACAATAAATGCACATAAATTAGGAGTATGGATTTCTGCTGCTCACAGGTAGAAGCTAAGTCCCAATCCTATCAGGTAGCTGTTTTCCTTAGACCTGTCTTTTAATACTTCAAAGTATAAAATTGATTCTCCTCACGACAAAACCACTCATGGAGCTCATCTAAAGCCCAACATAACTACTGACATAAACAGATTAAAGTAAAGAACAATGTAGAAGCAACAAATATTAGTCCAGTCATGTAATGTGCAGGAAATCAAGAGGGCCAAGGGAACATCTCCTGATTGCACAAGTAAACCCAACACTTTTTGTTGTAGCCAGTCATTTTAAACTCAGTGCTCCTACTATGATCTCTGGGGTCTAGAGGGCATGGAGGAGGCCTGGGGAAGCTTGGGAGCACTGGCCCTTGCATTAGCACCATCTGGGGCATGGTTACATGGTTCCCTTCTCTCCCTTCACATTCCCCATCACATGAGGTGATCTTCACCCCTGGGAAGAATAATAAGTTTGACTCAGCTGGGTCCGGCACATGTTCGTTGTGACGTTACCCTGCACGGGGGTATTTAGTGCTCACGTTGGAGCTTCAGATCTCTTGTTTGATTGCTGAGCCTTGCCTCCCACGGTGGAAACTCAGGCTGCTTGCAACCTTCGTTTAAATATATGTTATATTGTTTCAGGTGTCCAAAGTTTTATTTTACTTCTCTAGTAAATATCTTCAGCTCCTAAACGAGAACTTTGGGAAAACTTCTCCCACAATGCAACTTAAAAATCACCCTGCAGAGACCTTACGTTCCTCAGCTTAAATCCAGCCTTCAGTGTGCCTTGAGTTATGAGGCTGTCCAGACCACTAATAGAGGAGCAGGGGAATTTACACCAAAAGGAAAAAACAAGCCAACAATAAAAATAACCATTTATCTCTTCTTCCTCCCCAGTGTCTTACTCAAAAGGTCACTGTGTTCTTTCATGGAAGCAAAGCTCTATAATGTGAGTTTAGACACTTTAGGCTAAGCCCCAGAGTTCTTACTCACTTTCCCCCGAGTAACTTTGGCAGATTTTTAGTTTGAATCTTTTCCTTGGATAAGATCTAAGAAATAACCAGGGTCTCCAGAACGGAGCTGTTAGTCAGAGAAAAGCCAGGTCAGTGGGGCACGTGCTACAGGGCTCCCCACTTAACTCTGCGTGACTCACAGCACAGCGCTAGGAAAGAAACAAGCTCCTAGCCTCCCTTTCCTCCTATTTTGCAGGTGAAGGTTGCTTACAGTAGCCTCAGCTCAATGGACTGAAAATGCAGGTTACAGAAGGGTATATCTAGCTCTGTGCAGTCTTACACAAGGGCTGAACAGACAGGTTCCCCCTGTGCAGAAAGCAAACTCCTGCCCATGTCATCATGGCACCATGTTTTACCAAGGAGCAGGTCTAACACCATCTAGAAATAAGTACAGCTGTTTGGAAAGAGTGGGACGTGCATTGCTTCGCAAAAGTTTCCCCTTGCACAGCTTCCTGTAGAAAGCCCACTGTCCTGTAAAGGTGTCATTGTATAGGACATCTACCGCTTTTGTTCTCATTTCAGGGAGGTCTGGCCCCAAATCTCTCCCTAAAATTATTCTGCAGAAAGGATGAAGCATTTTACAGGGTTCAGTTTGGCCCAAAAGTTATTTGGGATTGCCTAGAATTTTGGAAACTGCAGCTCCCACAGCTCAGGGTCCCTGGCTGCAGTGACATTGTGCAGGTTTCCTGCTGCCTTCCCAAGTTCTGCTGCTAAAAAAATAATACCCCATGCTTCCCTTGCACTTCCAAATCATACAGCATGTTTTGTCAATGTCCACCATTGTTTAAAGCCCCTCTGGGCTCCTGCTGGGGACATTATTTCTCTCCAAGTTTTATAGGCAGTGGGGGATTCTTCCTGATTTTAAAGAGGGCTCCCATGGATCATGAATAATCTGTGACATTACTAACACAAGCCTTATCCAGTTGTCTTGTAACTCGCAGAAGGGCTCACATCTGAAAATCCAACTGGCAGTCTGAGCATCCGCGGGCATTTTGAAATGCTCTGAATCCAAAAGAGGAGAGTTGTCAGGTCACCCCAAGAAACCACTGTGCACATAGCAGTTCCACTATGCTTATTGGAAAATAACGTGTTTCTGAAAGTTTGCTGAACATCTGCTTGTCCTTAGTCCTCAAAGGCCGTACTTCATCTGTGGTAACTCGGGCCAGCCCATCTCTTCTTGACTAATAGTACATAGCACACAGCAAACTGCCCAGTTGGATGCAAAGACAGATAAGTGAGGGAGGGCATTGTCACACCTTGCCTGGAGCTGGAGCCAATGTCCTGTGGGGCTGTGGGCACAAGGCAGCTCCCCTGGTCAGCCAGACCTTTCTAGGCTTGTTCTTCCAATATGTCCTCTGTGTACCCCAGGTGGTATCTTCCCTTGGGGTATCCACCTAACTTGCTCTGTTATCCCAGGGATATACAGCCATTTCCCTGTGGAGGACAGGCTGAGCTGGCTTCCACCTGGGCACCCTGAAGCAATCAGTAGCAGATCAAGCATCTCTCTGCAGAGGCCAAGCTACTCTCTACCATGCTTGTGTCACTAAGGCATAGGAGACACACTTTATGTTTATCAGCTGTGTCTGTACCTCATCTAATGTCTCCCCTTTTTCCTTTTTAAACACAGAAGGGAAAAGAGATACCTTATTTAACTCCATAACAAAATAGTTTATATAAATAGTTTATATAAATAGTTTACAAAACAACTGGGTGCAGATTATCAGAAAGGTGGATACAAAGAAAGGGCCTTCAAGTCCAATGGAACAAAAGTTTCACCTGTAATGAATGTGCACACACACAAGCATATATAGATACACAACATATCTACCTGAAACTGATTAATGAACTAAAAGATGAATTGTAAAATGGGTAAATAAAAAGCTGGAGATTTACTGAATTAGAATCCAGCATATGTATTAAAAATTAGTCAATGTATTTATCAGTAACTACAAAACCTTTTTTTTTTTTTTTTGCCTGCATAAAGCCTTAATAACAGCATTTCTTTCTCTGCTACTGTCGAATACATTGATCTGAAGGATTGGGGTAGATCATAGGGCAAGAGTTTGAGGATTTTACTCCTCCTTTTGCCACTGATTAATTGTGTTAACAACCAAGGCAAGACAGAACTCTGCTACATTTCACAGTTTCCCTTTTGCAAGTGGGATAATATTTCTTACAAGTTTTGTATATGCGTTACCTTTCATGCTTTATTCAGATGAAAGAATCACGCAGGGGTACCCATGCCTTTTTGATTAGATGCACACAGCAAACTTTAGGTCCCCTTCAAAGATCCTTGGGCCGTGCGAAGCCACGAGCAACTCCACATTGTCATCAGAAAACAAAAATCAAACTCTTTTTCTCAGAGCCTGACTCCTTTGCCCAGCTCCCCCCTCCCATATTTGTATATATTTCGAGAGGAGAGTCAGGCTTAGTTTGTTCATAAACTGCAGTTCCTGGGCGGACCCCACGCACAGCTGGGCTTTAGCGGCTGGATCCGCCTTCCCGGCAAGCCTGGCTGGGAGCCTCGCAAACTCGGGGCTCCGGGCTTGACAGCAGAATCGCAGGAGACTGGCTCCACCGAAGGAAGATGAATTGGTCAAAGCCGTGAAACCGGGTTTCTTGTTGCTAGTGGGATCCAGAAATGGGTTACCGAAGGAGTCTGAGTCTGCTTCCCTTACTGCTGCTCTCCTTTTGTGAGTAGAAAAATGTTTCTGGTTAGGCAATGTTAAGCAACATACTCTGAGAAGTCATTTATTTTTCCTTCCTCCAGCAAAACAGCTAATCTTTGATTTCTCCCCTGACAGCAATTAGCCAGAGGATTGGAAATAGCTGAGAGTTTAGTAGAATACGCTGCTGCAACTGCATCAGCTGTGTATTGCTCTTATGGCGAAGGGCGAGCGATCTCTTGGTGGAAAGTGCTGCGTGCTCGCTTGGAGCAGCTCGCAGATGTCAGTGTTTACAGTGCAAAAATATATATAGGTCAGCATTACTTGTTGGAAGTTTTTATTTTATTGTGGGAGATTAAAAGCAACTGAAGTGCACCGCTGAACGATCTGGCTTCGACAGTGTCCAGATGTGGTGAAGTTTGCAGCTTAGAACTTTTATCAGACCTGGTTTATGCGCAGAATTAATCGAACTATTAAAGAAAGGAAGAAGTGGGGAGAGGGGGAGGAGAAGTGTCTTTGCAACAACATCTGGTTATTCGGCAAACCTTTCCAGCACTTACGTAAAGATTTCTTTGTAATAAGTGCCCTGTTTCAGTTTTGATAGCACTTCTTCAGTACTGTAGATAAAACCCTCCAGCAGCACTTGAAAATGTGCCCATCCGTGGTTTAACTTTTCTTGTTTATATCTTGATGATTGTTTCATAACAGGGAATGGATTTGTGTATAAATGAGTGTTATATACACATCTCCTAAGTATGTGTGTGTGTCTTTCTGTATATACAGAGCCTATGTATATGTATACACGCATATATCCCTATATAGTGTACATTTATATATTTGCATGGACACTGACACTTTTTAAAGTAAACTCTGACCAACACAGACCTGTTCCCCTTGCTATAGAAATTTCAAGGCAACTAGAATTGCTTTTTTTCTCCAAGCAATGAAGTAGGAGGATTACAACACCAGTATTTTTGCATCCAAATGAAATAACTGGGGGCAGGGATCTGTATCTGTATTCACTTTATGTGGGTCCCCCTATCTACAAGAACAGGGAATAAAAGAATGATCGGTGAGTAGTTTGTGTGTAGGCAAATACAACCCTGGGGGCAACTGTTGAAGCAGAGAGAACCAGATGGGGAGATTTAGGACACAAACTCTGGTTCATTTTTTAAAAAGTTATGGAGATATATAGTATTCATTATTGTAGATAATACCCAAAAGTATGGTTTGAAATGTAGGATACTATACCGATAACATCCTGCTAACTTAATAGCAGTTGGAGCAGGAATTACTACAAGGTATTGTTTAAAGCACAGTCCTGGGTTGTTTTTGGTAAAAAAGAAGACCACTAATTATCCTTCAGAAATACCTAATTTTGGAGTTATTTAACTTATGGTTTCCTTTTTCTGAAAGGCAAGGTTTTAATCTGAAAGAAGCCAAACCAAAACATATCATGATTACTAAGTTCATCTGAAAGGTTATGTGAGTGATATGATGACAAAATTTGATTCCCAAAATTTTTTGGGAAAAAAAAAAATAAGGCAAGGCTTGCTCTCTGATTCAGCTCATCAGTGATAGATGTTTTCTAAGACTACATCCACTTCCCTTGCATTTAGTGATAAGATTGACCCTACAGTCATGTTGAGACAGTAGAAATACCCTGGGAGCCCACTTTGCATTGACATTAAAAAAGAAGGGAACAGCAAGTTCCCCAAAGAGACAGAATATACACATTCAGCTGTTCTTCAAGCAACAAACCGTACCAGCCTCTCTTTTAAGAGTGACAGTGCTAGCCTGGTGACAGCAGCGAAGTTGCTTCTCTTAGCACAGAAATTTAAGACTTGCCATAGAGAACATGGCTCAGACTCCAGCTGAGCATCTTTAGGAACTTTGCTGCTCTCCCTAAGAGTTTACACCATGGCAGCAGAGACCCCATTCTGTGCTCCATGCTGCCTGTCTCTATGCCTTGGATCACCAACATGGTGAAGTGGCCATCACACAGCACCTCTGACCACTCTTGTCCATACATGATGGAATAAAGGGCTGTAGTCTGACAGACCACCGTATTTCCCTAATTCTCCCCGGCCAGCCCCAGCAAGGCTTCAAAATATCCACCCTTAAACTCCTCCCTGGTGGCAGTGGCTGCTGGAGGGCAGCATTTTTGCATGACTTTCTCAGCAGAAGGTGCAGACAGGAGCTGTAGTTGCACTGCTGCTAGCACAAACCCTCACACAGGTGAGCAGAGAATCCTTCCAAGGCAGTCCTGGACTTACCTGGCCCGGGACGAAAAAAATACGAGGATCATTCAGAACTGGAAAACTGTCTTACGATGTAGGGGACTGAAGGCTCAGTTTGGCCAGGAGGGAGCTGGAAGGTGAGTGAGCCTTCTACAGCCAGGTCCCAGGGAGGTGCTTTCTGGCAGAGGGCTTCCTCTTCTATGGAGCAGTGGAAAAACAAGATGTACACACTGGAAGCTAAAATGGGGTGCATTTGTGTTAGAGCACAAGACAGTAAAGTTGTTCCAGCAAGTAATTACTCAGGCTGGGGACGTGGTAGATTTTTGTTGCTCAAAGCCTTCAAGACTACAAGACTATCTGCTTGGAACTATAACCTGTACAGAAGCTACAGACTTGATATCAGGATTACTGTATTGTGCACATGGAAACACTCTGGCCTTAAAGTTAAGAATTAGGAGGTTTTCTGCTCTGTTTTGTATCAGTATTGGGAAAGTCTCCCTTGTGCTCCATCTGTTAGGAACAGGACTCACATCTGGACAAGCAGACATGGGGCTGAACACAGTCTCATCTCACAGAGAGGATAACAAAGCACCACAGCCCTCTGACCTGTGGAGGCAACCTCAAGAGTGTGAGCTAAGTGTCACTGGTGCGACGACAGCTCTCAGGGCGTGCAGAACCCCAGCAGAGTGTCTTTGGGCATCCAACCTCCAAAAGAGGAGAAGAAACTCAAAGTCTGCCAAGGCACATAGGACTTCCATGGCAGAGCGAGCTGCAAGAGAAAGAAGATTTTTGAAATGAGGGGAAGTTGCAGGTCTGCTGCCCCAAGTCTAGATCTCCCAGTTTCTGGGATTTGGGTCTGCTTCCCCATAACTCAGTCTTCTATTAAAATGCTGGTCCACTAAAATATCCTAACATTTTTGCCTAGTCTCCTGGGGTCCCTTTGTCATGGTCCCTCATGGAACTTTGATGGCTCCACAGAGAGTGTGTTTGAGGGTTATCTCCTGGTAGATGGTGGCTCTCTGAAGCCATATGCTCTTTCCTGCCTACACAAACTGTTCCCCCAGTGAGCCTCTTCAGCTAAATATATAGAGTGTATATAATTCATAAATCAGGACAGGGAGCTCCAGGGCTGTCAGAAAAACATCTCTGGCTTTTGATCTGCCCAAGAAATCTCTGACCTATCCCAGGCTCCTTAGGCAGCTTGTTCAAGAAGTTGGCTTCCTATTTCTGAGGTCAGCAGAGCTAAAACCAGGGGTCATAGTGCCACCAAAATGCCAGCCCACTCCTTGAGCAGAGGAGCTGTTGGAATTGCACCCCAACACTAATGTATGCACAGTTCAAGAACACGGGCTCAAATGTGAGCTGTGAGGGGATGGGGGAAGAAACAGGGCAAAGGAGGAGTCACCCTCCATTTCACAGGCAAATACATCCTTTTGCAGAAAGGGGCTTTGCAGGTCCAAGGCTGAGCCCGGGCAGCTGAGCAAACCTCTTCTCCCAGTCTATGCAGCATGTGGAAGTGGGTGCTGCCTACCCCAGGACACAGGACTGCAGGGTTGGTTGTTACAATCCTTCTCAAGTAACACTATGTTTTGCTTTAGTGTTGATTTAAGCCAGCCAAAACACCAAGGAAGAAATTATTCCCACAAACCAAACCAGGCTGCAAGGGCCCCACATTGGCTGGGTGTAAGTAGCTGGATTGGGAGCAGGCAGAGCATCCCACTGCCTGAAGGAGAAACTTGTGCGTCCTACCATGAGGCTAAATAAGAACAAAGCTGGAATAAATTCTCCAGTTAGGAAGTGAAAGGGAAAAACACAAGAAAAACCCTGACAATGCAGAACTGGAGTCCTCTGCAGTGTTGCAAGTGGCAAGAAACTGAGCAAGGAAAGCAATGTATTATTTTGAATTCAGCTTTACACTTCTCCAAACCCAATACTACTGTTTCAGTCTGGTGTAACTTAGATTAACTGAAGGTTAAGAAGACTGGCAGTGTACAGATATGTCAGATTTATGAAAACTGGCATTTCCTCTCCCCTAGCACCTCCAGCTTTTCTCAGACTTGAGACAGGCTGGTCATCATTAAAGCTGCTCAAATCTGTGTTTTGGTGGGGGGCTTTGTGGAGGAAAGTCCTTTTTGAAATATAATTCCACAACCCCCCAAAAACTCCCAAACAAATAAAACCACAAACCAGTAGTAAAACTTATGCTTACTGGTGTTTTACTGGTGTTATCACTATTTAATAATGGTCACAAAGACATTTTTGTGTACCAGTAGTAAATGAATTCAGCCAGCTGCAATCATGATACTTGTTACTCCCATTAGAGATGGAGTTCTGGACAGTTGTATCCCACATATTCCCTGAATATGCAGAAAGCAAACACTGGCATTAAAAACAGGTGACTGGGGGCTTTTATTCTGAGAAAATATTCAGCTCTACTGCCTGTACTCCATGGCTTTATATTGTTCCGTGTTTTGCTCTGTCGAGTTTATTTCCTCAGGACATTGTTTTCCTCTCCCCTTAGTGATAACTCTTTGCAATAACATTTGCTTTCTGCCGGGCTCCACAGTGTTACAACTTGCCATAAACTAATGAACTCTCCCATAGATTGTCGTGTTTTCAAGGAAGTGCAACATCTGATCTTTTTATTAAAAAAAACAGTCCCACCAAGGAGACAAAATCAGCAGCTCCCACACACTTTGCTCTTTCACATCCCATGTTTAGAGCTGTGTGCCAAGTGAAAGCCTCGTGCTGGAAGGGGCCTCCACGCAGAGGGGAGATAACACCACT